TCCGAGTTCTCCCGAGTCCTCCCGCATCATCCTGACTCCTCCCATCTGCGTCCAGAAGGCTCACGCAGAGTTGGCCGCCCGAGAAATAAGTGGACTGACTCAACAAACAATTTTGCGGTGCACAGTGAGATCGCACGTGCGTTGTAGCGCTGACCCGCACGACGGGGGGACGGGTGAGGGAGGATGAGGAAGAGAACGAGGAGGAGGAGGAATCCACAGAGGAAGAAGAGGAGAAGGAGGAGGAGGACGACGACGAAATTGAGGTGCAGGAGGAGAAGGAGGAATAGCAGGAGGAGGACGAGGAGGAGGAGGAGGAGGGAAGAGGGACGAAAACTGTTTTCTATTCGCAGCACGCCCGTTGCGTGGCGTGCAGCTGTCCGCAGCAAATCATCACGTAGATGTTCCTTTTACTTACCTTGTGTACGCAGGCGCTGTGGTGTACACGGGCGTTGTGTTGCAGACGGCTGTTGCGGTGTACAGATTCGCTGTGGTGTGCACGAGCGCTGCGGTGCACGCAATCATTGTGGTGTACACGGGTGTTGTGTTGCAGACTGTTGTTGCGGTGTACGCATTCGTTGTGGTGTACACGGGCGCTGTGGTGCACGCAAGCATCGTGGTGTACACGGGCACTACACGGCTGTCGCACAGGCGCTGTGTTGTGCGCGCTGTGGTGCATGCGAGCACTGTGGTCTACAACGGCGCCGTGGTGCAAATCGCCACCGACATGCTGCTCTTACTTGGCTTCGGTCATCCGTGGGTATTCCCGACCGCCGCCAGCGCGGAACGTGACGTTATCTGGTGGGGGGGCGCGGGGTATGTGGCGGCGTTACCGTGGAAACTACACACCGGTTTGAGATGATGCTAAGATGACCAAACGAGTGCCTTGAAACATGCTACGCAGATCGTTGAGGAAGTGCACTCAGCAGGAGGTGCCAATGCCGATGGAGGCGGAAGCAAACCCGTTAGTGAGTACGACGTCGTCCAACGGTTAAGACCGCTCCCATGCGACAGAACCAAGTTCAGAAAATGAAACGAAACGCTGTTGAACGCAGTCGCCCAAGTGAGGTCTGCTTATCGGACGCGATCGGAGAGCTTAAGAATTTGAGCAACACGCCCGTAACCATGGATGGGGGGTTGCCCGTTTATGAAGAAGGCGGTATGACATTACACTACAAAAGGTGGTGAAATCTCGGCGAGTATGCTGAAGCGTCGCCGACGAAGAACACATGTTTATGTCGCCAGAAAGGGAAATCTGAGTTTAGATGATGACGACGATGGTGAGTTTGACGAGGAGATCGGGTATTTGTCGAACCACAGACTGGAGGGAACATCGCCGCCTGGGATGTTCAACGGCTTACGCGACAGTGGGGTATGACTTGTCTACCAGTATGTATGTGCATGTATATATAGATATGTATTAGTCGCACTCCTCCGTTACCATGGCCATGTTGTTACGCAATTTGAGGCTTGCCAGGGGCCCCCGAACACCCAAGACGTCAAGCGCTGTAGCAACTCAGCTTGAACAGTGGAGTGCGTAAGTTGAATCCGTGGAGAAATCTGGATCTGCTTATTCGTGCCCGCCCCCATCCAGATTTACCGCCTAGAGGACCATCGTGGCTAATGCGGGCGATTGGTCCGATGCTAGACAAAGAGATTGCCTCAAGCGCCCAGCGGTAAACTCGTCGTTAAGCGCCAATGTTGTTGGGAGTGGAAGAATAGGCTGGGCGCCGTCGCGAAAACAACGATTTGATGGTTGCTGGCCAAACAAACGATGAAAACACGGGCAAGAGGGGTAACAATGGAATCATGCAGGTTACCACTCCAAGAGCGGGTGCTGGTGGTCTTGGAATGCGGAGGACATGACCCTCACGGTGGCACGAATGAAGTTACAATGGAAAACGCAAGGGCACATTACCCCTGTGTTACACGCTTGGAGGATACGGGTGCGTTGCCAGGGACTCTGCCACCAAAGGGGCTCCGACAGGAAAAGGGTGCGGGAAAAAGGATAGCGCAGAGGTGCCAAAGGTTCCCAATTATAGAAAGGAGGTTTTTCACAACTGTGGAGGATAAAGGGCAATGTCGCGGCCCGCTGCCCGATGAAAGCCAACAAGGTTGCTCCCGGTCAAGGGGGGCAGGAGCATCAGGAGAGCCAGCTCAGTTGTTAGGGCAATCCGTGCCAGCGCCGGGATGCTTCAGCGTCGAGCTGAGCGAACACCGCAAAGCGCCTCGCAATCGCCCCGAAACCGCTGGAGCCGGCTACGGGGGAGCAGGAATGGAGGAACCAGCGCCGGGAGACGATGAGGAGGAACACGGGGGCAATTTTAGGGTTAAGAAAAACTATGGGCTTCGAGGAGAGCTCGATGGTGCCATCGAAAGCCCTTTGGCCAGTTTGAAAAGTCCATTCGGCCATGCTTTTGATGGGCCTCGCGAGTGCGGCGCCAACTGCAACCGTGGCACCGTTCGGAACAACAGAGTTCCAGAGCACACCACACGCGAGAAAGGTTGGATCCAGGGATGCGACGACGTGCAGCTAGTGGAGATGAGTGGATACAGTCGGGGCACTGAGGAAGGAACCCTTTTCGTTGGGGATGGGCTCGGAGTTCCTTCGTTGTTTTGCAGTTCGCCTTTGGTATTGCTTAGGGTTTCGATGGGAAATCGAAGTTAAACTTATAGGAAACAGT